GAATTTATATTTAAACCATTTTATTAAACTATATAAATTGTTCATATACATAAATGCTAAGAAATTCCATTATTATACTAAACTAATTAGATTCTAAAGGAGGAAATATATTAAAATAAGCACTATTACGTTTTAAAAATAACATACGATTTACTAATTCTGGAGATAATCGTGTTCTTTTTGAAGAAATATGATTACCTGCATCAGAAAAGAGATGTTCACTAGGTACAGATGTAGCAGGAATTGAAAAATACTTTCGAGCTAATTTGGATAAAATAGGATAACTTGCTGTATGATCCCGCCACCATACTAAAGGATCTGTAATTTTTGGTTCATTAGAACAATTCAAGTAACACGAAATCTCATTATTTTCTACCAGTGTTGATCGTTGATCGCTACTTCACATTTTTGCAAATATATCATCGTCTTCTTCATTCAAGATAGGTAATATTTCTTGAATATCTTCGGGAAATGCTAAATCTTGTTTAATTTGAATATATAAATCTTTTAAAAGATCTTCAGCTAACATTTTTTGTTCTTCACGATCAGAATCTTCTGCAAATGGAAAATTTTTTATTCTAGGATCTAATATTGTTGCAATTAAAGATAATTCATTTGATACATTTCACAATCATCCAAAGAAAGATAAATAGCAGCATGAACTTTTTTAAGAAGATCTCTAGTATCTACTGGAGAAAAATATTCATTTTGATATGTATTTTCAATTTCATTGTTTATTTTGTATGAATTTTGTAAAATACGAACACGACTGCAAACATGACCATGCATATGATGAAAACTATGATTATATCTTCATCCTTGTCCTCGATTTTTCATATGTTCTCTAAATTGATGATAAGTATATTGCCAATGTTGTCGATTTCCAGCAGTTGGAATATTATCATTATCATCACTAATAAAACTAAATTCATCATTCAAATTTAATTCTTCTTCATTGGTATTTTCAGGTGTAAAAGATCCATAAATAAGATTAAAATAACTTTCTAAAGTTTAATTTTCTTGAATTTTTGAAGCAAACATTTGTTTAAGCATATTAAGTGTCGGATATGTAGCAACTGATAATCGACAAGTTATAGTTTCAAATAGTTCTAATAATTTCACTATTTCTTGAACGAATCTATTTATAAATGACAAATACTTTATTTTTAAAATAAATAATAAAAATTATTTTTAAAATTTTATTAATA